ATTTAAATAACCTTTTTTTTTTTTTGATGAATTACAGTTTATTTCCCTTCTCTCCCATTCAATATAACACTTTAACCAATAAAACAATATAAAAGACCACTCCCCGCCATCCAAAAATCAATTCAGACAAGTTCTAATTAATAAAATACACATTAAACTAGTCATCTCATCTGATTACAATTAAAAATTCCCGTGTAAAAACGCTCGAAACTCGATTATCCGAACAGATTCGGCGGCGTAAGAGCGTTATAAAACACACTTCATACAACGATCATTAATTAATCGAGCGGTTAAATGATTTAATAATTATTACAATAATAAAAACAACCGAATTGTCATGCAGTTTAATTAGATTTTAAATTGCAAGTTGTTCAATTATTATAATAACAACAAACACAGCATGGGACCGAACTTATCAGTTACCGTGCAACAAACTTTAAGAAACATGTCAATTACGAGGACAATGCTCGATTTAAAATTGTCGATTTCACGTGTTAACTTAATAAAACGTCATCATACCGCAGTTGACATCTTCTGGTGTCTTTAAACTGTATTTTGACACATAAACTAAAGCATTTGTGTGTTCGAAACAATACAAAAACAACGACGACAACAAAAAAAAAACGCGGTTATAACACAAGAAAAAGTCGAAATGTTGTGTGTAAACAACACGCGGACCCTAGTGGTGTTGTTCGGAACAAACTCAATTATGTGGCGTGTAATTTTAATGCACGTTAAATTCGTTGATTGTAATTAATTTAATACGTTTTCTTTCGATCGTAAGGTCGATGATATTCAATTGTTTTCACCCCCCCCCTTGCTGTGTGACGATTCGTGTTTATATATAGTACGCACCCTTAACGATCGCTGTAATCGTGCGAATTTACGTGTGTGCGGAGTTCTGAGCGTGTTTATCCCCTAATTTACCACTTAAATATACTTAAACAATCCTCTTTTTATATCTACTTAGTTTAAACCTGTGTTTTAAATAACGAGGATGACAATAGCTTGTAGTATATTGCGAGATGTACTCTAATTTTTCAGATTTTAGGTGTATTTTCGAAGGGGAAGAAAGATTCTTAACGTGTTATAGGGAACTTACTAGAGAAACATGGATTCAGTTCATTATAAACAGCACAGGTATTGGAAATGTACAGAGTTTGATTGTTGTTTAAGTGTTTTGGGACTTATTAACTGGAAATTTATATTGTGTCACTCTACTAGTTTGTATATACAGCTTCATGGCTGGGCGGTGAGTGGTGCAAACGTGCCGCTACACAACGTCCTGCGATACTGCGCGATCTAACTCTTGCAGAATTTAAAAATCGATCATTTAGTTATTCGCTAAGTTAACTAACTTTCGCTAATGTATTTAACAGATGACGTGTTTACCGTTAAGATATTATTTTGTTGCTCGAAACTGTTATTTTTCTATTAAACGACAACCATGACAACCTTGCAACCCCCCTATTTCTCGTGCCAGCCCGTACAGCTTCTATGAAGAACTTGAATAAAATCATGTAACGTCATGTTTTCGTAACAAATCATACGGTGGCGTGTTGTTGTAGCAAATCATGTAGCAGCATATTCTTTGTACATTCATCAATGTATGTATGAAGATGTATGAAGAACTTTAGCAAGCAGAATTAAGGTAGTTTACATTAAAGAATATCACAACCGGTTAATGTACACATATGTAAACCTGTGACCAGTGCTCTACGCGTATATATTGTATATCGCTTGATAAACGTTTTCGAGCGATCTGTTTGCTCTTCTTCGGGTCGACTGAAAATTACCCAGATGGAGCGTATATTATTTGTTAAGATCGTCGACCCGAAGAAGGGCGAACAGATCGCTCAAAAACGTTTGTCAAGCGATATACAATATATACGTGTAGAGCACCGGTCACAGGTTCCAGATAATGTAACGTTGATTCACCCCGGTGCTGAAAGTAGAACAGTTCCTATATTGTACACATACGTAAATACTGAAATACAATGCAACCTCAAGTTGTCGTGCACATTAGTTAGAAGCTTATCTGTATCTTCCTCTGCATTCTTCATGTAAAATTTGATTTTTCCATGTTATCCTTGACGTCGTCTTCCACGTTAATTAATTGGAACCGTTAAAACAGTCTTCACTAGCTTTCAGATATTCAACTGTTGTAAGGTGGAGTTGAAAAAGTCTTTCTTTCCCATTGTCTAAAATGAACTGCCACGTGTTAAATTGGGATGCTAGTCTGCGTTGGATTCTTATACAATCCGTCATCTGTTGGATTGAGTGTGGAGTGGGTCCAGTGTATTTGATTCGCATCCGGTTCATTCGTAGGATCGGACGTGGATGTCGTGTTAAATCTGGATTACAAGGCCGGATCCACATTCAGTGATTATATACTTGGATATTCTCTAACTGGGAGACCAGGAATGCAATCTTATTCATACATACTTTGTACAAAAGCAAATCTCAAATAGATTTATAACATAAAACTCAATTCTGTATACCTCAAGCTTGACAATTAAGTAACAGATAGCATCTTTTAGATATTTTTTTGCTTCTGGCAAAGGTTAAATATGATTTTTTAATCAAAATTCTGCTGAATTGTATGAGCTGCAGATACTTTCATTGATATCACTTACATTATATGCTTCCTAATGATATATCTACACCAGCATACTTGAAATTAATATATTTTTATATTGGAAAGTTATTAATGATACATTTTCAACATACAGATTCATATGAGAAATATTCTACAGTAGAAAAAATAATAATATACACAATAAAATAATTGAATTTTTATATTTATTAATTGTCGAGCAAGGCGCGCGACATAAATTACCAATGTTAAGACTTATAATCGTCAAAAAAATCTTTCATTTGTGTAGAAGAAGGTAATTTTTAGTATATTAAATGTATGTAAACAAACATTGTTAAGCAATTTTCTATATGTTTTTGAGTTTAATTACTTGTAAAAGTTGTATTTTATTAATAAAAATCTTTATTTACATCATTTTTGAACATTTTTTGTACAAAATTTTAATCGGTAATTGGCTTAGTTTGCAGATTGAAAGCCGCAAACCACTCTAAATTTCATTTTATGAATGATGTTACCACTCTAAATGAAAAAAAGTCATGTTAAGAAGCCACATAAACATTAAAAACACCCATAAATGAGTGTGTTTTTTTGTAAAATAAATTGAAAAATAATGAATTTTATGAAAGGAGAGAGAGAGAGTAAACTTGTGAATGAATGCAAAAAATTCACTGCTTTTTTGTAATAAATTACAGTCAACCCCCCTATAACACTGTTGATTATTCCGTTTTATACGAATTCCATGTTGTACGAGTCACTTAGATTTTACATATACGTGTTCAGGGCTATGGACGGCTCGGGTATTTGTAAAATCTAAGAGACTCGTACAACATGGAATTCATATAAAACGGAATAATCAACAGTGTTATAGGGGTGGTCGACTCTACACGAAATCAAAGAATTATGATTTTACAAGCCAAAAAAAATGTGGGAAAACAAAGAAGGGGCGTAAACTAGTCAATAAAATCGAAAAAAGTCAAATATTTAAGCGGTCGTTAACGTTTTTTTTTCGTAATAAATCTCACGACGTATCACGGGCGCGAAACCCCGAAATCGACAAGAAAAAAAAAATGTAAGTTACATTCACGTGGCGCATCGGCAACGTGGCACAATTGGCGGGAAAAAAAATCGACCGAGAAAAAAAATAATCACGAAGAGAAATTGAAAAGAAAAAAATAAATAAATAAATAATCGGTTACAGGAGCGTACAGAACGTGTCGTTGCTTTGGTAGTAAAATGTACATGTACGCATGTCGAGTTTAGCCGGGTTGTAAAATGGCGTCGAGGGTGATGTTGACGATAGACGTCCTCATCCGAAATCCTCTTCGACGTTCGTATAAAGAATAAACCCCCGACGAACTAAATCATCATCATAACTTTCACGTTAAAGTTATGGAAGAAGGAGAAGAGACGATCATCAAGATCGATGATCCGTCGTTCTACGATTTGGAGCACATACCACAAACTATGGACAGTTGGCTGAACGACGATGAGGGTCCTCTGGTTTTCCACAGAGTTAACTCCAAGGATATCATCTACCAAGCGAAGAAGAAGAAGGCAAAGATGATAGGAAAGTATGTGATGGGTGATGTTTTGGGTGAAGGTTCCTACGGTAAAGTTAAAGAGATGTTGGATTCCGAGACGTTGTGTAGAAGGGCGGTGAAGATACTGAAGAAGAAAAAGTTGAGGAAGATACCTAATGGAGAACAGAACGTGCAAAGGTGAGTCGCGCGTCTGCAGTTTTGCATTTGGGTGGCGGGTGGTGCGCGTGGCCGGTCGGTGTCGTCTGAGAGCGATGCGTGGTAATTTCTGTGACGGCGGTTCCGGCGAATTGAATTGCGCCTCCGAGTTTCGGTATGGTTTAGTTTTATGCAAAAGCGGAAGTTATCCGTTGCGAGTTCTCTTTGTAATAGTAGTATTTATCTGCCCGACACCAAAAATGTTTTGGGTGGTCGGTGTGTTGGCGAGATGCAAACCTGTGGCTAACAACGTTTCGATGATTTTATCCGCTCGAACCTGTATGTCTGGAAAGTATTTAACTCGTGTCGTGGAGCAGTCGACTTCGATGCCGAGACCGTTTTTTCTAAATTTGTTTTGTGGCTATTTTCTTGCATCGACCAGACAAATTTTGTTGCATTTGTCGAGCGTCGTTTTGACTTCTCTGCAAGCTGCTTAACTCTAGCTCGTTTGTATTGGCTAATAATTTACAATGAATTTAACTTCTTACCGTTTGAAATGTCGTTGAGGTTCGTAACCTTGTTGACAATTCTACTAAGAATAGAAAACAGTTGTGATACACAATAAATGAAAGTTAAACTAGCATTAGCAGTGTGGATTGTTAGATTAAAACAAAGTTTGTTCCTCACTATCCAAGGATACATTCTGTGTGCATCAAACGGTGCATTGGTGAACCACGATGTACTAAGACATATTCCAATATTCACCAACAAGTTCGTTCGTGCAGTGACTCGTGCAGTCTATGGATATGTTGAGTTCTATGAAGCAATATGGCTGCCTCCATTGTTATATTTATTATTAACATCATTATTATTACTGTTCTTATTAACCCAATGTTATTTTGACAAAATAAACCTGCAAATGCCAATATGGCTCTGTTTTCTTCCACCATCTTGTTCGATTGCCAGACATTCCAGTAAAAGCTTCTTAAACCATTTACCAGTGTATCAGTTGTGACTAAGACTGATGCAGAATGGAATGTACTCTGTATTTTACTTTGTTTTGGTATTAATGGTTAATATGAAGTAACGTGTTGCCATTGAATTTTTATTCATGTATTTACATAGATCGAGATTTGAGTTACTTCAAAATATAACAAAATTTTCTGTGATTTTCTCTAAAAATTTACTAATATAGTGGTAATTAATCGTAAACAATCAGATGTGTTTTCTAGTACAGTCGACCCCCCCTATAACACTGTTGATTTTTCCGTTTTATATGAATTCCATGTTGTACGAGCCACTTAGATTTTACAAATACGTGTGCCGGGCTGTGAACGGCTCACGTATTTGTAAAATCTAAGTGACTCGTACAACATGGAATTCATANGGCTGCAAATTTATAACGTGCGGAACAATACGCGAATCTTTCAATTTTTGTAACAAGCGTAACGTCTAAATTTGGTAAATATCGAGTAATACTCGCGTGCAGTGACACGCATTGCATGGTGGGGGTACGGTCCAGGCCTCATTATTCCTAATACTAGTAGTCCAGTAAAAACACGAAAAGCCCCAATGTTATCGAGCAATAATTATAGAATAGAATAATTTTATTTTCTATTCTAAAATTAATGCTCGGTTAAACTGTAATGTTACAAGACTACAGGTTCACTCGGCACAAATAGACAGGCAAATCGAGTGGATAAACAAGTTGTTTAGACTGTTTTAAAAGGTAAATCGGTGTTCACACTGGGATATTTTAAAGCAAGTTTTTGTCGTTTCTTGTTTCTTGTGTTAATAATTTACAGCAAATTGATTAACATACGCCATTTTATAATGAAAATTAGATGTACCCCTTCGATTTACGCTCGTACCCCTAGGGGTACATGTACCCCCGGTTGAGAACCACTGCCTTACAGTTTAACATTTAAGGCCTCGCCATCTCATCTATCAGCATGGCCCTACTCCTATTCAAACTTGCATCCCAAAAGCTGATTTATTGTAAAATTTAATCAAGTGCTGAAAATAAAGTATTAAATAGATGAAATACTTACTTAAGCGACAAATTTTCATTAAAATTAACATAATTTTAATTTAGTATATTAAAGATTTGCTCCGTCGCCTGTCCGATTTTACACGTCAATTTATTTTTCCAGTCTTTTCATTGTACCGCACCTCGAAAGATGACTTGCACTAGGATGGATCCAAGCTGCACCATTGGATTTTACTGCAAAACGAAAAAAGATTTCCTGAATTTTACCAGAGCCATCAACCAGGTAATTAATTAAATTCGGAAATATGTAAATTTTGTCAGTTACAAATGAACAAATACGTAATTTACTCAAAATAGATTCTTGCACCTTACAAGCAAAAAGGCGATTATCCGATCTTCACCGTCCAAGAAGGCAAATGTTCCATTTCCGTGCCGGAGAGAGACGTCGTTGCCAGGGAACGGACGGAATCGCTGGACCAGCCGTGGAACTTCGAAGACGATCTCGACACGATAGACATCAATAACGAAGACTTTGTGGTTATCTAACCTTGCGCTATGGCTTACGTAAGTTTGTATAAAGCTATTTTTAAAATCGTAAAGCGAGGAAACATTTTAAGACCGACTGTAGATAATGTATTTAAATTTACGAAGCAACGTTTTATGTACAGTTTCTAGTAATAATAATATCAAATATGTTTAGCGTTAATTGTTATCTGAGATATTTAAATTTGTATATGGAGTTGCAATCGTTGGTAATTTTTAAGAAGAGAAAAACTTTCACTTATGACACTTTTGTGTAATTATTTCTGTTTTTTTTGTTATTGTTTCACTTGGAACAATAAAATAATTGTTGTTTTTATTTATTTATATCACGAGTAATACAGTCTGATGTTGTGTACAAAGATGTAAAGTTTGTATATATCTTTGTACTTAAAATTGTTTTTTTTTTTTTATAGAATGAAAAAAAAATTACAATAAAAAGTATTCCACAAACAATTAAAAAATTATTTATAAAAATTAAGATTTATTATACTAAAAAAAATTTAAAAAAGGCACTTCTACCTTTGTAAAAATAACCAACCTCGGATCATGTAGCGGACGTAAAAAATATACTTTACAATTCGTAATTTAAGTCTTTTTTTTCCATAATACATTAGTTTCTATGCTTCTCATTTATGGCATTTGATATCTACTCATCGAAACAGTCAGAATTCAATTACATTTTTACACAGGATGTCCGAAAAGTTACCGTGAAGCGAAAAATTTGTAATGAGGTTAAAGTTATACGTGCAGCATCACGTACAAGACCCATAAGTTGTACGTTCCGAATCTCCACTGTGCGGTAATTCAGAACGTATTGCTCGCTCACACATTCCATTTTTTGGAAGACTCTTTTTCTATTTGCTCATAATCTCCCACATAATCTGGCCCGCTAAGTCTCTGGACCTCGCTCCCCAGATTTTGGATCTCTTGGGGCATATGTAAAACCTCACTTTTATTAAATCTTTTCCACTGCAAAGCAACTTTTCAGACACTGGGAAATTGGAAGATTCGTTCATCTGTAAAAAACCATACACATTCAAATTTATATGTATTTTTAAACTTCAAAGATGGATTTCTTTTGTTATGCTTTCAATAATTTACTTGAATTGAGAAAAAAAAAAGCCATACACAGCTTATCACTCGTTACTCAATAGATATGAGGTCGAAAAGTAAGGTTTCCTGCTTTATATTTTAAATGTAAACAAGCTGCAACTTAGAAATACACTCGCACTTAATCTGTTTTTATCTGTCAAGGTTAATACGCAACCGTGCAAGACTTGTAATGGGCAGACTTTTTCTTTGCCTCGATTAAAATAACTAGCTTTCTTTTAACATAATAATAACCAAGTACAGTGGTTGATCGGTTAACAAACAGTTTGGACTGTGAACAAATCGGATAACGAACACTTTCGTGAAAGATTTTTATGTTCGGACAACGAACACTTCACAGAAAAACAAAACAGAAACAATGTAAAATAGTGAATATCAATTGGTCGTCACCTGACTCCAGGTGGCAATTCGAAACCTTTCGGAGCTCTGAAGATGTCAACATCGACACTCAACCCGATACGGATCGGATAGTATTCCTCTGAATTTTGAAACTCTCCCTTGTAATTCCAGTGTTTTGTTTACCTTTTTTACCTTACTGTTTACCTTACAATTAATTTTTTTAGTCTTTGCAAGACTGCTGGGCGGTACAGGTAAGTTTTGCTTCAGTTTTTATTTACGAAAGGCGAGAGTTTAACTGTCCCATTGGATATTCGTTAACGTTTTAATACCAAATTTCATCTGGGCCTTGCATTTAAATAATTTTTTTGTGTGCTAGTTGATTTCTTTTCTCTGAACTTTTTATTTAAAAAAGAAACTGATAATATTATGGAGCCTAAAGAGAGTGGAGTGTCAAGAACTGTGCTCACCATAGAAACCAAGCAAGAGATAATAGCCAGAGTAGAGTGGGCAGGTGTCTGATGTTGCTAGGCTGTATGGCTTGAACAAGTCTATAATAGGCACAATCTTAGCTATGAAAGATGTATCAAGCAGCTAAAGGAGTAATGAAAATTACATCTGAGAAATAAAGATCATTGAAGAGCTCATAATGGAATCTGAAACTGATGTGACGACAGAAGAACTCTTAAATGAAAAACACCAAGAAACTCAGCGAGACGTTTTCTTTTGAAAAAGAGGAAGACGAAAGAGGACCAATGCCGACATCTGCTATTAAAGGTCTTTTGAAGAAGTGGATGTCAGAACGATGGTCGTCCAAACGGCATCCAAACCAGAATGAAGTTAATAGGCTTGGGGATCTCTACAATTACAATGCTGTTAATTATTTCTGAAAAATCCTGAAGAAGAGAGAAAAGCAATCGACGTTAGACAGAGATATATATATATATATACATGTATTTTTATTATTACATATAAGTAAACATAGTAAGAAAGTGTATATTTTTTAACTTTTGGGGTCTCCAGAATGAATTAATCAAATTCCCATAAAAACCTATGGTAAATCGATAATCAGTTAACGAACAATTTGGATAGCAAACAAAGTTTGTTAACCAATCACCCACTGTAGTTATTTGTAGGAATGGATTAACAAATGAAAGTTTGGCTGATAGATGTGTCCTCTCAACACAACATTGTTGTGTAGCTTCAAACCATCTCAAAAAGGTGTCAAAGGTAATGTTGATTTGCATTGATAATTGCTATATAAATTTTTGAAGGACAGATGAAAGTGAAGTCTGATAATGTCAAATTAAAAATATGCCTTTAAGACCTAACTTTTGGTCCAATGAAGATGTCCAAATAAAACACCAGACATCAGCCATTCTTAAAAGGTGCATCTACAAATTTTTCAACATACCACTATGATAGATTCCCAACGAAGACAAGGTTACCGTAGAAGATTGGACTAAATATCTGTTTCAGATTTCTATCATTCAATATGTTTACACTTAAGGAAACCTTACGTAATTATATACAAGGAATTATTCGAAAGTTCAGGTACTTCGTGTTTAGTTCCTCGCCTTGAATAGTTAAAACACAGATGCACAACCGCCCTCAAAATAATCCTCTCGGGTGACGATACATTTTTCCACTGCTTGTACGATTTCCGGAAGCATTATCTTTCGCAAACAAAGTCATAAACGGCCCAAGATGTGGCAAAATGGATACGATACATTCTCCGTGACCACATTGGTCCATAATGCCAGTTTCTCACAAAAATGTGCTTCCGCATAACACCTATTCACCCCAATTTATACCTCTTTCCACTGATGAAACAACATCTGTAGGGTTGTTATTTTGATTCCTCAAATGAGGTAAAAGCAGCATCGCAGAGATATGGCGGTTGCAAAAGATTTACAGCCGTACAAGCACTGGCAAAAAATGTGCCGTCATACAAGGGGATTATTTTGAAGGTGGTCGCACATCTATGTTTTAAACTATTCAAGACTCCAAATTTGAAATTTCAGTATTAATTAGTTTGATTCATCACCATTATCGTATAAAATAAAATCCATCTTCAAAATAACAAATACAAGAACATAGTAAATTATATATCCTCGTATGTAAGTAAAAGAGGCAGTCGTTTATGGAAACGGCAACTTAACAGAAGCGTGTCGCGATTTTCTCGTTAATACTGATCGACAAAAATAATTATCTTAAAGAATTATCAAAATTTTACCACGGATAACGTGAAAATTTTTTCGAAAAACTTTGTACGATTAAAGTTTGGCATCCGACGGAAAAAAAAGACGATCATCACAATAGAAACGGCAAATCACAAGAGTTGCATATGACCCGAAATAGGAATGGTCCCTACTTTAAACATCACAGTTGCCGTCTAATCACAACCTTTTCCTAATTATAAGAGAAAGCCATTCATCCCTTTTTAGATGCGCCAAAAAGTCTGGCAATTATTACGTACCATTTTCTATAAACAAACATGATTTTTCAAGCATAAACAAAAATTAAATTAATGCGTGATTGTGTTTAAAACAAAGCAATCGACAAAATTTAAGTAAAAAGACTTCGGCGATGAAGTCATACGTTTCTTTGTTCTCCGTCCGATTCGTCGGCCTTCTGTTTGCCGGGTAGTTCTCGTAACGGTTGGGCAGAATCTCCGACGTCGCCGTGTTCTTTAAAAAATTTCTGGAATGTGGTAAAACGCACAATTAGATTAATTAATTTATCAATTTTTTTTTAAATAAATCAAAAAAACTTACCATTAATCCCGCGGGAGCAAAATATTCTTTTCCAGGCGATCCATCGTTCATCTTTAAATCTTCACAAAAGCAGAGAAACAAAATGTCGATGACCATCTGAAAATAATTCGGAATTTCTTTCGTGAACCAATTAAACGATCAATTTGAAATTTAAAAATACGTCAGAGAATCAAACGAAATTTTACCTCGTAAACCGAAAGCACACAGTGAGCTATGAAGAAGGAGAACACGCTTCCGATAAAAACAGGAACTGCGTAAAAATGCAACTCTGGATCGTGCTGCGGAAAGAATTCGATAAATATAAGTATTGTGCGTAAAGATTTGGCTTTACGTTCTTTATTTACTATTCAAAATAATAAAATTACGTGTCCAAATCCCCACGGTGACAGGCAGGCCCCGATTTACACTCGTTACCGCTCTAAATTATAATACACTAGAGACCTTCTGCCAGTGCCGTTGCTAAAGTATCTCGTGCTGGCACGCAAGTCCTATTTTTTTGTGCCCCTCACAAATTAGTGTTAATATACCACGAATTTCTACTTTTTGATCATCGTCAAAAGTCCTTTTGTATTGAGTTTAAATGGTATGAACATCTTAAAACAGACTGGCCGTGTGGATTTTTTAAACTTTGGCCCATTTGTGTTACAAACACAAAGAAAATTCCCATAGAAAGTCTTTGTGGGAGATTGTATATGACGACAAACAAATAATAATCATCATACACCAAATTTACTGTTGTATTTAATCAAATATGGCACTCGACCTTTTAAGGCTGTCGTAAACGGAACCTTCTTGGATTCCTATTTGCATCGTAAAGCTGGGATTTTTGTGACGACAAGGTAATTACCACACAAACACCTGGCTAAAGACAATTTGTTCGTATTGATTTTTGTTATATTTAGAGCCCATCTGCGTTTATAACGACCTTTCAAGAGATCGGTGACAAGCATAAATCAATCTGTTCGGCGGCAGTTGTACGGAAATGTGTCGCGCCATCACGAAAGTCCCAGGTTTACAATGCAAGTAGGAATCCGAGATGATCCCATTTACAATACACAAACATTAAAGATCTACCGTTCGACATCCGAGATGTTTCTCCTTAATGTATAAACAGAAAATAAATTAATTATAATACAGGTATGTGTCGCTTAAGAACGGACCTTATATATGACGGAGGATCCGTAAGATTTTTACGGATACATTCTTACCTTCATCATCAAAATGCCGACGAATGCAGAGAGTGCCGTGACGGCGCACTTTCCGAGAAAGAGTACGAAATCGCCGACACTGTTGATAGCCGCCACTCTTAGCGCATTCGACACTAACGATATAAAAGCCTGGAAAAATATACAAAGTGCAATAATTTTCTTAATTCTTTCTTTAATTTGCTATTTACGTTAGAATTTCGTATTTACCTCTTGTGCTCCTTTGCAAAATCCGACACCTCTAATAGCTGCAATAGTTTATTAAAATGCATTATTTTAACATAAAATTATTTAAATTTTAAATTAATTCAACTACGGATCGTCCTCGGTTAATGCGCGTTCAGTTATATTAATTGCGTTCCCGACTTACTTATTCCCGATTTTTGTCTTACGGCACCCCGTACTTCTTTATCGACGTAGAACTTTTAGTTCTTTCTTTTAATTTTATTAATAAGTAAGAAATATTATGGCACTGCTTGGTATTATATTTTGAGGCACCCCGAAGTGTCTCAAAATCATCCACCGTCTTAACCGAGGACTACCGGTATTTGAAATCATTTTCAAATTAACGAATCCAACTTTACCTATGACAGTATATGCATTGTGATTTAAGTATCTTAGAAATTTCTCAAAACAACAGAGACAGCACTGACAGCATTTCAAACAGCATCTCGCCACGGCACTATTACTGTTTTTTTTCAACCTAAAACATCATTTTGGAGGTTTTAACGGTCCGTTTACATAATTATCAAAGACTTTTTCTCTTCTATTCAAATTACTTACTTGGATTCTACATATTGTAAAATCAGACGAGGGATTTTGAACACCGTGATCAGAAACGATCCTAAAGCCAGAGAACCCATGTGATAAAAGATGAGACGAAGTACGGAATGTCCTATCGGGCATCTCAAAGAATTTTTCTCTCTGAAAATTGGCAAAATTCTTATTATTAATTGCGTTTCGTTCCATCAAATCCGCGAGAAAACTGACTTACCGAGAAAAATACCACATCGCTACGGAGCTGGCGATAACCATCTGTTGGCATGCTAAAATAAATTCGCTGATCCAAATCAGTGCTATGGCATGAAACCACCACATGTAACGCGCCCACGAAGGTTCGGTGTACGACACCAGAGTGTAGGCATTTACGCTGGGAGTTACATTCTCCGTAGGAGTCCCTGTCGTTACAATATCGAACGTCTTCATCAGCTTTTCTTCTGAATAGAAAGGCGACTTTACTTCTCTCCTTTCTGGATAATCTGGAATATTTTTATCGTTGTCGTTACTAATTTATTTGTTTCTAAATCACATACCCTTTTTTCATACTGATTTTCAAAATTACCAGCAGTGGCTAATGCGAGTAAAACGGCTAACCAGAAGACGAAAAACAAAACCAAAGCAATGAAAGTCCAGAGAGGCTGTACTAGAAGGCAAGGCATGTTTCTGATACAATGGCCGGCTTCCTGAAACAGGGCGACGACGAATTTCACACGTTTTCTCATGACAAAAACAATCAATAGTAGTAAGACCTGAAATTGCAAAAGTAAAAAATATGTTAATTCATAGCCATTAGTTACAGGGTAGTTCCAAATTATGGAAACAAACTTCAGATATGGATTCCTGGCAGACAGAGAAAGAAATGGTCCTATCAATATATGTCCATAAATGTACCAGTGCGGAGATAGGCCCATATCTGTGTTCCTGTTTGCTACCTTTCTCAGCAGACGGATTGGTCGAGAGAAGCATGCTCGGTCACCAGACCTCAAACTCCTTCATTTTAACTCGCGGAGACATCTGAAAATTGTCATGTAAGTTGAACTAGTTTCCGACAGACATTGGAGCAATGTGTGGATGTTAACATTAACACTGTTTGGATACAGGCAAGAACATTCGAAAGGTTAACTCACGTCAGAGGACCACGGAAACTCACTTCAAACATCTACCGTGACTCTGCCCGAGGTATCAATACATACGCCATACTGTCGTGCAATGTTACATCCTTAATGTATGGCTTGCAACACCCAGTAGATGCTATCTATCTGGACATACATTAATAGGACTAAAGTTTGTCCCCATAGTTTGGAACCACTCTGTACTGTACATATATAATTTTACTGTTAAAAACTGATTAAGTGAATCTCAGGATTAAATTATCTGGCGTAAAGGCTGGTTTTACACAATAGGACTACTATTACGATAACATTTTGTCACTTGAAACTGCAATATGCACAGAATTGCCTCATTTGAGGATGCTTGTTGAGAAAATCTACATGTTGCACCTTTGAACCGATCAATGATACAATTAAAATACATGTTAAATCATGTCCTCGCTGCTCTGGAGAGAAATGAATGTTCTTGCATAAACTCGGAGCAATTCACAAGTTGTATTTTGGCACACGTAAACATCCAAGTTGCCAACAAATCTCTGCATATTTTTGAGCGTGACAAAATGTCGGCAGTAGCCAATCGTGCAAGCCAGCATTAAGTTAAAAATATGTTCACAAATTATCAAATTTTATAACTATCTAATGAATAAAAATCCTTATTATCTGGCTCAAAATAGACTTAAGAGAACACAAATGATCAAAACTGTGAAATATGATAAATATACAGTATTAAATTGTAATGAAAAGAATCTGCACGGGTGACTGGATGAATGACATAGTTAAATTTCAGTCTAACACTCTGGAGAATTCTGATGATAAATCATGGCGACTCCCTGGGAATTTTTCATGAGCAGTCTGTTCCAGATATCTTGGGTCCATTCTTTACATGCTCCTGTTATGGGTTTGGCCAAACTCACAATGGATACGGAAAAGTCCCTTTGTGATTGTATTTATGTGCAGTATCTATAGGAGCATCTATTAACTATCTATCTATAGGAGTATCTATTAACTACATGTACAGTTTAAGACAGAGTGTCTTGAAACATATACATTAGAACTCCGAATAAATGAATGTCCAATTATCCAAACTACTTCTTGCCCTCGTTTCTCTCTCCCACTGACATTACACTGCAATTCTCTTATTTCCTGCAACTGCATGACGTAAGAGATGCCTATTTGCAGTGATGTATCTGAATGATCGCCAGAAGTACATCATTGTACACAACAGGGAGAAGAGGTTCAAAACTAGCTCAAAAACTGCACATGGAATTAATGGACAGCGGCATATACAAGGTGTTTTCTTTGAACGTCCTTAGTTTTAAATTATTCTTTACAGAATAATTTGTTCAGATACACAAATAAAATGTGTTGGAGAATGTTGGTCAATACTTCAAGTTTTTCGTGCATACACTCAGAAGGATTGTTCAGTCACACAATTTGGATTGTTGGAACCCCATTTCTCAGGCTGTTTGATCACCCGACATCATCTCTTTACACTTTTCTCTTTGTGGGCATGTCAAGGATTGCAAACTTTTTAGACGCACTTTCTATTACCATTGTTTACAATACTAAATTCACGTATATTTTCCCATAAAACTAGGGACATTCAAGGAGAACACTCTGTAAATGCAAGCTTACAATGTGGCACTTACTGTAAAGACTTACAGTTAATATAGTAGAGCCGATGGAGTAAGCGAGAAAAGCACGTTCATTCTTGGCAGATTCTTCTAAAAGTTGTTCAAACGGAGTGGTGTCTAGATGATATTTTATATCAACGTAAGTCCACCATAATACGCCCGTTACGGCTACAAATGAATTAAAAACGTAAAATACCACAAAATACAAATAAATGATGATAAATTTTAATTCTAAACCTTACCGATCGACGCCAAAGAAACAATAAGCATAATAATCCAAGATACGAAAGCTGCTACAAAATGAATGAGGAGAACCATAAGAACCGAAAGTACTGAAAGCAAAAAATCATAATTAATAAAGTTTATAAATTATGAATTAAAGTAATTAATTAAATTATTATTCTTTTTAATGTTCTACTTTATTTAATTTGTGTTTTATCTATTATTATACCCCGTTTGCACCGAGCATTTCGATCTAGATTGTGACTAAGGTCGGAGCCTGTTCCGTGGTGCGAACGCTCTCGATTGTTTCAATCTCGACTGAAACGAGGTTCAATCGCGATCGACTGGAGAGAGTTCTCGAAACTAGATCCAGTCATAAGAGAGATCCCACAATCCCACGCGCGCGAGAAAATACAAGATGGCTGCGGAACACATATCGGGCTATCGACAGAAATAAAAAAGACATCGGGAGAGACGACGACATCTGTCTATTATTAGATGAGTGGCAAGAAAAAGTATTTATTTCTAACCAAAACTTCCATTTTGTTTGTTGGTGTTTGTGACTTACCGCGTAGTTACGTCAGTTTTACGATCACGTGTAATAGTCAGGTTCTTCTCGAGCGGAATGCCTGTGCGAACAGCAGGACGTTCGACTAGCGACAGTCACAATCCAGATAGTAGGTAAATCGAGATCGAAGTGAGTCGTGGATTGTGTGCGAACATAGTATTAGATAAATATGCTTGTTAAAGAACTTCCTCAAATGTACACCCAATTCAAACTGTTAAATTTGCGTGTTCGTGCGAAGTTTTTAGACAAGGATTATGAGAAACAGAGAGTTACATTAAAATTGTTTTAATGATATTTTTTTCTATATTTCTATCTTGTGTGAAATATTAATAGTTAATAATTATACTTACATAAAGAAAGCAAAATCATAGTTGTAATCTCGAGACGACTAGCATATAAATCACTGACAGTCTGTTGAAACGTATCAAAACTGTTTAGATAACCATAAATACTATAAACTGCATCTTTGGTTAGGTCAAATGCTGCCTTAGGCACACAACGATTCATTACAGATTTCCTAAAACGTATAAAGTTTTATAGAGTTTCATACCTTAATGGTTCATTTTGTATAGAAATTATAATAAAGACCTCTTTAGCTTTACTTTTCACTTACGTCGGATAAATGGGCATTTTCGGACAAGGTCCGTAACCGTAATTTTCTTCTATGAGTTGAAAAGTTTTTGCGAGACTAGCGTTTTCTGGAACCGGATATAAGAAACTACTTCCATCCTGGTTAAAGTCGTACCTACAGAGCTTCGTGCCCGTCTCCTTCTCGAACATCATCAAATCCATTTCATTCTCAATGAAACGGTTCGGACATTTCTTCACGCAGATTTTCATCGAGTTACTAATGTCGGCCATATTTAGATAAAAAACGTAACTGAGGAATGTAAATAAATTTTATTAGTTTATCCGAATCACTTAGAGAAAACCAAAATGGATTCAAATTCAAAAGTACGTACGGCCTGTCGGTCATATTCAATCCGGAGAGCGAAAGTGAGCCCATCTGTTCATTTCTCAAGCCGCAAACATTTCCAAAGCTATCTAATCCATAGATTAATCTAAACGGATTTCCAATTACAAAGGCAAATGCAGATATAAATATCTGAAAAAAAATAAATAAATAATACAGTAATACCCCGAACTTACGCGATAGGTGGGACCGAGGATAACCGCGTAAGTTGAATTCGCGTAAGTCGGGGTATAATTTTCGCAATACAAGTTGGATGTATGTAAGCTAATAAATGTTCTCGTTAATCTTATCTCGTCTTTTGATTCGTTCACGGTTACAAGAAATCACCACATAGAGTCTCTCAAGGCTCCGTAGATATAACAAACACAGAAATAAATAACACAAAATAAATTGTAGCTATGTGTCAATTCCGCGCGACACGTCCGAACATGTAAACTGAACAATAGCGTGGGGGGAGTGAGTAATTGAGAGTTGCGTGGCGCTCAAACAAAAGACGAATCGACGAGATTTGAAAATCGCGTAACTCCGGGTTCGCGTAAGTCGAGGTATTACTGTACATAAAGACTCTCGCCTTTACAGGTTCCACATTTTACAGATGCACATAACATAACACCAGATATGTTAATGTAGTCCTTATGTGCATATTTTGTAACTTATAAGTCACTATATAATAAAGTGAATCTTTATTGTGTGTGAGGATTTGTTTGAAAGATTTAGAATCGTTAGCACTTACCAAAATGGCCCAAAAAATCAAAAAAATCACTAAGCAGAACACATCGGTGCACCATCTCGCTTTCTTCACTCTCGGCTGCTCCTAAACGACGAAAATTGAAGAATTACTTTATGAATGTTAACACCTTTCTTCTCTAGTAATTCCAGTGACAGAAAACAGAATTATCTCTAAGGAAAATATTAAAAAAACAACACTAACAATGATCGTAAATTTTAAAAATTTGCAAAACTAAAAACTATATTGTATTATAGAATATATATTTAAACAAATCATTGGGTACAGTACATTCCAGTATGCATCAGTCTCGGCCATATTTGATTCACCGATAGTTTAATAAGCTTTTACTGGAATATCTGTCTGGCAACTTAACAAGACAGAGGACGCAGACAGCACTATAGAGTAGTAAACACGGTATTAATAATATAACTATGGAGGCCGCAATATTGCTACTTCAGAGTTTACTGTATCTGCAGCCCATTGAGTGCAATGTGCATCGAGAGTGGGTCCTACAGACGCAACGTCTTCCAAAAACTCAATAAGTGATATTCACTGATGAGTTTGTTGGTGAATATTGGAACACCGACATGCTGTTTGATGCATATGGGAATGTATACGTACCCATTGATTTAAACTTCAGATTGTAGCTCTTTAATCAAATTCTGAAGGTTGATTTATTTACAATTCAGAAATGTATATGTCAATCATATAGAGTTCTTTGATATCAATTCTCCAATTAGCAATTAATGTCGGCTGAATGGCTGAAGTGGTTAAGGCATCAGCCTACTACTCTGGGGATCCAGGATTGAATGAGGGCAGTTGAAAAACCTAGAAAGGGCCTGACATTTATAAGACAGATTGTCTCATGTAAGTTAGGCCCTGTCGCTCATCACTCAGCTACCTCATTGTGATCCTGACCAAACTTATGATGGCATGTAAAAAGGTCTTCTTAGTGCCACCACGAAACCCCATAAACTTTAATTCTTTCTGTCTTTGAACATTAAGATAGTCTTTTAACATACTCATTATGGTCTTAGCCAAGTCCTTAGTGGAGTGGTTGGGTGGTGATGGATGAGATATAACGTATTCAGACTAAATTCCTGGTGACCCAACCTGCACCTTCTGGAGTGGAGTCATAGGCAGAAATCTTAGATGCCACCAGCATCCACCATCATCATCTGTCACTACTTACCACCATTCTAAGATAGATACATATTTATGGGATGCGCATTTTACCTCACCCTATGAGATAGTTAAGACCCTGACAAAAAAAAAAGCACATTAAAAACTATCAACATCCTCACATTTCTAATAAACATCAAGTTGCGTGCCTTCCTGTGAGAAAGTAAATTGCCTACGTTACTCTGATGAGTCATTAAAAGACAATCTAAAATAAATAACAAAACACAAAACAAAAATAAATTTAAATTAAAACGAGGAAAGACAAAAACACTCAGAGAAAAACATCAGTACATTCCAATATGCATCGAACAGAACATCATTGAATTGCGATGTACTAAAATGTGTTCTAATATTCACTAATGAACACTGAGATGCACATCATACTCATTAGGCCATGGATATGGAAAACTGTGACAAAGCAATATTGCCACCTAATAGTTGTATTATTAACACTATTTTTATTACTTGTCTGTATTAATCCAAAGTTATTTTGATAAAATAAATCTGCAAATGCCAACATAGTGCCATTTGATTCTGTCATCTTGTTAGGTTGCCAGATGTTTCGATAAAAACTTACTGAATCATACACTGGTGCATCAGTCGTTGCTGAGAATGAAGCATATTAGAACGTATACAGCAACCTCCAAGAATAAGTAATTGTTCCAACATCCTCCGAGTTTATAGATTCGGCTCTTCTTAATAATTTAAAGATTTCTAGCTCTTCTAGCTGTTTTAAGTCAGAATAAGACCAGCACATAACAACAAGCTTATTTTATGAGCCTTGCTACTTGGTTAACTTCCGTGCTTCCACGACAGAGAGCTAGGCAGTGGTGCATTTAGAAATACAGCATCTGTGAGTTCACAATATGCAGGTGCTCCCAAAATAATAGTGCCATCTTTGTACTGAATGATTCTACACTGTATTTTATAATTTTAGTTTGCAACCCCAAAACTCGTGCACCCCTAGGCCACGAGCAAAGGCAGCGACAAGTTGTCTTTTCTGGATTATCATCAGTATTTCTAGATATCATAGGGGATCAATATATACTAAGTTTCATTAATGAAGAACATCTACTAACTCATTATGAGCTCACAATTTGATCACATTTCCCGGGGAAGCGACTTTAATGTGGCTGGATAAGCAAGCCAACGGCATGGCCTATTTCAAATGAAACAGTCTATATCATTGATTTGCTTATCCAGTTGTACAAAAGCCACTTTACCATGCAATATGCCCTACGACTATCATCGCAATGTTTCTACTTTGTTAAATTCATTTGTTATATTTACTTGATTTAATATAATTTAAACAATAGCATATACCCAATAGTGGCCAAACTGCAGCTTGTAGTTCTTACAGAGTCTATAAGAACAACATATGTGAAAGCCAAGATAAGGGTTTATAATAGACCCTTATCGTGGCTTTTATATATCCAATCCTACTCCTTATTACTTAAGGGAGGGGCCTGATTTTGGTGGAATTCCTGTACATATATACACACAATATATAAGTTATTTATAAAATACCATTCCAATAGGATATGGCTCTCATGTATTTATGATATGTGGTATACGGTTCCTATCCCGACGTATCTGGGACAGACGGCCCACGAAAATTCCCAGGGTTTTTTGATTGCACAGATTCGATCCTAGGTCCATCTGAGCAGTAGGCCGACAGCTTAACCACCTCGACCAACTGGCAAGCTTCCGTCACCAAAAAGGTCACTGGCCAGATAACCAAGGTATAAAAAGAGCCCAAAAACCAAAAGGATTATATTATAACAACAAAAATAATTCTTAAAAGTAACTTCTCATAAGATCTTCATAAACTTGGTGCCTTCTCGTAAAGAAACTTGCCCATAAATAACCTTTTCTACTTCAAAAAAAATGGAAATAAATTGTTTAAATAAGGTAACAATTATTAAAGAAGCTACTAAAACATAAATCCAATTTAAACAGCTTTTTTAGGGCGAAAACTCGGAAAACTTAAGCAATTCCGGGCTAATAAACATCTATCGTCGAGTGTTAATAAGAGAAAAGATCAACAGAAGTTAGTAGTAATCCGGCATCGTCTCTTAATCTTTACTTCTCTCGCTGATCTCCGACGACGAAAAAGCTCAAAAGCACTAGTTTTATACAGTTTTAGTGGCTAGATAATAGTAACCTTTATAAAAATTTAGAATTTATTTAAATTTCAACTACTTTTACAACAATTTTACCATATTCAAAGCAAAACATGTAACAAAATACATGTTTTTAGCTTTCTTATTAGCACTTTTATGTACAGTCGACCCCCTATAACACTGTTGATTTTTCCGTTTTATACTAATTCCATGTTGTACGAGTTGCTTAGATTTTACAAATACGTAAGCCGTTCAAGGCCCGGCACACGTATTTGTAAAATCTAAGAGACTCGTACAACATGGAATTCATATAAAACAGAAAAATCAACAGTGTTATAGGGGGTCGACTGGTATTTCTTTTTAGATCTGTCGCAAAGACACAAAAAAAGTGTTAAACTATTTAAATAACCTTTTTTTTTTTTTTGATGAATTACAGTTTATTTCCCTTCTCTCCCATTCAAGATAACACTTTAACCAATAAAACAATATAAAAGACCACTCCCCGCCATCCAAAAATCAATTCAGACAAGTTCTAATTAATAAAATACACATTAAACTAGTCATCTCATCTGATTACAATTAAAAATTCCCGTGTAAAAACGCTCGAAACTCGATTATCCGAACAGATTCGGCGGCGTAAGAGCGTTATAAAACACACTTCATACAACGATCATTAATTAATCGAGCGGTTAAATGATTTAATAATTATTACAATAATAAAAACAACCGAATTGTCATGCAGTTTAATTAGATTTTAAATTGCAAGTTGTTCAATTATTATAATAACAACAAACACAGCATGGGACCGAACTTATCAGTTACCGTGCAACAAACTTTAAGAAACATGTCAATTACGAGGACAATGCTCGATTTAAAATTGTCGATTTCACGTGTTAACTTAATAAAACGTCATCATACCGCAGTTGACATCTTCTGGTGTCTTTAAACTGTATTTTGACACATAAACTAAAGCATTTGTGTGTTCGAAACAATACAAAAACAACGACGACAACAAAAAAAAAACGCGGTTATAACACAAGAAAAAGTCGAAATGTTGTGTGTAAACAACACGCGGACCCTAGTGGTGTTGTTCGGAACAAACTCAATTATGTGGCGTGTAATTTTAATGCACGTTAAATTCGTTGATTGTAATTAATTTAATACGTTTTCTTTCGATCGTAAGGTCGATGATATTCAATTGTTTTCACCCCCCCCCCTTGCTGTGTGACGATTCGTGTTTATATATAGTACGCACCCTTAACGATCGCTGTAATCGTGCGAATTTACGTGTGTGCGGAGTTCTGAGCGTGTTTATCCCCTAATTTACCACTTAAATATACTTAAACAATCCTCTTTTTATATCTACTTAGTTTAAACCTGTGTTTTAAATAACGAGGATGACAATAGCTTGTAGTATATTGCGAGATGTACTCTAATTTTTCAGATTTTAGGTGTATTTTCGAAGGGGAAGAAAGATTCTTAACGTGTTATAGGGAACTTACTAGAGAAACATGGATTCAGTTCATTATAAACAGCACAGGTATTGGAAATGTACAGAGTTTGATTGTTGTTTAAGTGTTTTGGGACTTATTAACTGGAAATTTATATTGTGTCACTCTACTAGTTTGTATATACAGCTTCATGGCTGGGCGGTGAGTGGTGCAAACGTGCCGCTACACAACGTCCTGCGATACTGCGCGATCTAACTCTTGCAGAATTTAAAAATCGATCATTTAGTTATTCGCTAAGTTAACTAACTTTCGCTAATGTATTTAACAGATGACGTGTTTACCGTTAAGATATTATTTTGTTGCTCGAAACTGTTATTTTTCTATTAAACGACAACCATGACAACCTTGCAACCCCCTATTTCTCGTGCCAGCCCGTACAGCTTCTATGAAGAACTTGAATAAAATCATGTAACGTCATGTTTTCGTAACAAATCATACGGTGGCGTGTTGTTGTAGCAAATCATGTAGCAGCATATTCTTTGTACATTCATCAATGTACGTATGAAGATGTATGAAGAACTTTAGCAAGCAGAATTAAGGTAGTTTACATTAAAGAGTATCACAACCGGTTAATGTACACATATGTAAACCTGTGACCAGTGCTCTACGCGTATATATTGTATATCGCTTGATAAACGTTTTCGAGCGATCTGTTTGCTCTTCTTCGGGTCGACTGAAAATTACCCAGACGGAGCGTATATTATTTGTTAAGATCGTCGACCCGAAGAAGAGCGAACAGATCGCTCAAAAACGTTTGTCAAGCGATATACAATATATATGTGTAGAGCACCGGTCACAGGTTCCAGATAATGTAACGTTGATTCACCCCGGTGCTGAAAGTAGAACAGTTCCTATATTGTACACATACGTAAATACTGAAATACAATGCAACCTCAAGTTGTCGTGCACATTAGTTAGAAGCTTATCTGTATCTTCCTCTGCATTCTTCATGTAAAATTTGATTTTTCCATGTTATCCTTGACGTCGTCTTCCACGTTAATTAATTGGAACCGTTAAAACAGTCTTCACTAGCTTTCAGATATTCAACTGTTGTAAGGTGGAGTTGAAAAATTCTTTCTTTCCCATTGTCTAAAATGAACTGCCACGTGTTAAATTGGGATGCTAGTCTGCGTTGGATTCTTATACAATTCGTCATCTGTTGGATTGAGTGTGGAGTGGGTCCAGTGTATTTGATTCGCATCCGGTTCATTCGTAGGATCGGACGTGGATGTCGTGTTACATCTGGATTACAAGGCCGGATCCACATTCAGTGATTATATACTTGGATATTCTCTAACTGGGAGAGCAGGAATGCGATCTTATTCATACATACTTTGTACAAAAGCAAATCTCAAATAGATTTATAACATAAAACTCAATTCTGTATATCTCAAGCTTGACAATTAAGTAACAGATAGCATCTTTTAGATATTTTTTTGCTTCTGGCAAAGGTTAAATATAATTTTTTAATCAAAATTCTGCTGAATTGTATGAGCTGCAGATACTTTCATTGATATCACTTACATTATATGCTTCCTAATGATATATCTACACCAGCATACTTGAAATTAATATATTTTTATATTGGAAAGTTATTAATGATACATTTTCAACATACAGATTCATATGAGAAATATTCTACAGTAGAAAAAATAATAATATACACAATAAAATAATTGAATTTTTATATTTATTAATTGTCGAGCAAGGCGCGCGACATAAATTACCAATGTTAAGACTTATAATCGTCAAAAAAATCTTNAATTAAAATAATTCAATTAATATAATTTTCCTTATTATTTGTTTTTAATATTATTCAATGAAATTCTATTTATTAAATAATTCTTTGCGTATTGGAATATATAATAAATGTAATTTTATCAGATATCTTGTGAGACGAAAACAGGTTTTCGAGTGTTTCGGCATTTGGAGCCGAAATACCTGTTAGTCGATCAATCAGAGCTGAACAGATTAGTTTCGGTGTTTGTTTTTATTGAATAGAACTTAGAAAATTTTAAATAAATTAATTATTCTTTTTCTTTGCTTTTTCTCATGTTTTATGGGGTCGGCATTTCCATCTTTAATCTGTCTTCTCCACTTCTCTCGATCCAAGGTGCCTCTCTCTCTTCTCCATCCTCTCTCTCCCAAATCCTCTGTCATCTTGTCTCTACACTTTATCAAATTTTTTAATATATTCTAAAAATACTATATGAACATCCAGATTCTTTCAACGGGCTCTTAAGGCAAAGTAATTATTAAGCATTTTAGCAGAATGCAGGCTGTCGTCACTTGTTAAATATAATAATTATAAATAACTAAAAATAATAAGATAAATAAATGGTGGCGACCCAACTCCTGCCAAATTACTTATTAATTATTCTGCTTTAATAGCCCGATAACGGAATCTGGCCGTTCGTTCGGTATTCAAAGTAATTATTAAATAGAATTTATTTCTTATAAAATTTGTTTTGAATTTCTTGAACCAAATTTAAAATTTTTTGTGAGAAATTATCATAAAATTTTCTAAATTTCTCAATTATAAGTGACATTACCTTATATATAATACTGTGATATTATAATGTTATTATTATGTAACTAATTAATAAAATGAATTTACTTGTCGACGATAACCATATTTGACACTATTTGATAAAAATATTACAAGTTAAGTGCTGACCAAATTGTTATTTATGAAGTTTAATTGATATTTTATTCATAATTTGAACTATATACTGAAATATATAATACATATGAATTTAAAGGAGGTTACTAGTTGTGATATAGAATGTGTTCGTTGAGATAATGAGCTCGAAGAAACATGCAAGCTCATATTATTTTCAAAATATACATGAAATGAATCGCGGACCATTTTTGATTATAATAAAGCTTATAATAAAACTGTTATATGTTAATTTGTAGCACGTATAGATACATTTTTTGCAGATTTTGACATAAAACTACACCATTTTTAATGTTATAATTAAAAATCGAGGTTATCAATAACTTCAGTAGGAAATATAACAAATGTTTTTCCAAATCTAATGTTTTTTTTTGCTTTCAACTTTCATTTTCCATCATTTTTTTCCGGCAAATGCATTGCTATTGACAAACTGTCTAGCCGAATTGATAAATTTCTGCTGTTACAAATGTCCAACCAGACATTTAGTTTCTCCAATTTAGGTGTTTTTTTTTTTCCTACGGAAAAGGATCAATAAACAGAGCTTTCTTAAAAATTTAACAACCCATTTTTAATTAAATTAAACTAGTTTAACGAGTTTAATCTCCGTTTTAATTCTAGTTATTGCAATTAATTTGTTCTCGTGTAATAAGTTTTCATCGCGCGTATATTATCCGTTAAATTAGATTATATATTTTTTTTTAACAGAGAAATACAGCTGTTGCGTCGTCTCAGCCACAGGAACGTTATCAAGTTGGTCGACGTACTCTACAATGAAGAAAAACAAAAGATGTACATGGTAATGGAATACTGCGTATCTGTTTTACAAGAATTATTAGACAGCGTACCTGAAAAAAAATTTCCAATCTGGCAAGCACATGGGTAAGCACGGTTTAATTATTTATCGGTTTGAAATCGAGTATAACGAGGAAGGAAAAAAAATTCTGACGTCGAAAGAAAATAAGCAATCGAGTTAGCGTGTTTTTGTTTTAATACAAGATGCCTATCAGGAAACTTTTCTTTTACTTTTGACAGCCATATCCTGCAATTCATTAATTCGGCGAAGGTTTTAAGACATAAACATTTGCACAATTATTTCACCATTATTTTTCTAGAGTCGAGAATAAATATTTTTAAGAAACTTTTATTTTTTTTTAAACTAATATCATGAATGAAATCTTATTGTGTCATTTATTTAAGATAACAATTAACAAACACCCATTGTAAATTATATAAGCCTATTACAATGACTTAAATTCTTTATTTACGGAATATGCAAGGTAACCTTTATATTTGTTACAAGTTAATCCGACTTAAACTCCATTCGGTTTATATTATACAGAGTGGCCCGAAAAACAGTTAACCGTGTTGTTCATGTAGGATTTTTTTTTAATTAAAGCATCATAAGGCGGCAGTTTATGGTTAATTGACTTTCGCGTCACCCTCTAACCCAACATTTCGGGGTAATGTAAATATTTAAATTTTTAAAAATAAAATTTTAATGCGCTTAATACTTAAATTTAATATTAGTTACTTATCTCTGGTGAGAAGCCAAACAACTAAAAAAGCCAAATAAATTTATCGTCGGATGCTCGAAGCACCAAACCGAACAAAACCAATTAATCTTTGCGATTGATCTCGACGTCGCTCCGATTACAAAAAATACAAATTCGAGTGTTAATCGAACGATTAATTCGACTCTGGCTTCACCGGAGAGCCATTAAATTACCAAATTTCTTTCGGCTCTGCTAATTTAACCCTCCGGCGACTAATTGAAATTTCGAGGAATTTGATACATTTCGTAGAAATGATGAGAAATATTAAATTGGATAACCCGAAATATCTTTTTATTTTAAGACATTGAGTGTACGTAGCTACACCTGCATAATTTATTGAAGAGTTTTTAATCTGTTTCTCCTCATCCTATTATATATGTATATATATACACGGTGTATCCTTTAGAATGTGAATCATTAAATATTTTATACGCCTCTTTAATGCCTTGGCGTATTTAATACCGAAATGCAGTTTTGACATTAACAAAAACAAGGTTGGTGGCCATAGAAAAATTCTTGGCAGAATGTCAAGAATTCATTAATTTTCGTAGAGAACTACAGATAAGCGTTACGTGAATATTTATTAAAGTTCTTTAAGGAGTAAAATGGCGATTCTTAAAACCTCCTGTAAATGCCAAATTGGTTGGATGATTTAAAAGTGGATCGGAGGTGGGGAGGGGGGTCGAAAACTAAGCGCACGTGTCGGCATCGAGGTCGCGAAATGAAGTTTAAAAATCAAAGTATGTGTGTCGTCAGCGTTACGTAATAATTGCATTTTCGATTTTAAATTCTCGTTTTAATTAAACTCTGCGTAATTGTTTGTTGTTTTTTTTTAAGTCGTAAATTGCAATAAATGTGTTTTGTATCGGAAAATTCGTTTTTTTTTTTTTTTAAGAAGCGGTAAATTTAGGGATATTCTTAGGGAAAAAATCGCTAGATTTTAACTGAAATTTTTCGGGAATTTCTGAATAAATTGTATAAAATACCCCACCTTTAACGAAATTTCTTGTTTCGGGGATTTAAAAAATGTGTAAATGTTTGAATTTATAATTTTAGAAGAAAGATTTTATTTTTTCAGTTTTTACGTAGATACAAGTTTTTACATTATCGTTACGCAGTATCAAAATGAATATAAATTACTCCATTAGAAATATATTTAGGATATGTTTACGTTATGCTTTACGTATTATACTTAAATATAATTACGTGTACGTGATAGGGAATTATTTAGATAATGATGATTTAGATGTTTGCATTAAATGATTATCTCATTTAGGGAAATTAATTCATATAAAAATGGGGAAATTTAGGGATTTATTCGAAAAATATGCTGTTTGTTTAGAGAAATATCATTTTACATGAAAAATTCGTTGTANTTTGGCCATTTTTCTTTGTCATTCATCAAAGCTTTTAACCATACAGAAAAGAACAAATAAGCAAAATCTACCATTTTTTTTATCGTAATTTTGCATCTGTATAAAATAAATAAATGAAAATGGAAGTAAATCGACGTTACTAATCACTTTCGAAACAGATTTTTACGATTGATCGGAAATATTCAAGTAAATTTCATTATTCTTTTTTATATTGATTTTAATGCAAGTTTAACCGGGTTTGTGCTACTTTTTCAGGTTTTTTTACCCTCCCCCTCATTTTATGGCCTTTTAAGAAAGTAAACTTCTCTATTGTCTTTTATTAATATATTCTCTTGAAGTTTTGTACTTTTTGGATCGATTTATTTTCAGTTTTGTCCGAATAAATAAGCTGAGAATTTGTATATTTGATACACTTTCAAGAAATTATTTTTTTCTGTACGTAAAATTTATAAGTAAATTTGCATTTTGCGAGTAATTGCATGATATAATAATTATTATTTAATCTTTTCTTACATAATAATTTATACGCGGCAAAAAGTACTGCGGGATTTATGACGTGGTTCCCTAAAAGCCTTTTTTTTTTTATTATTTTTCCCCTCGCCTGTTTCGGAGATTTTATTTCTGAAAGAATAAATAACTTTAGAGTGTATTTGTTTCTTCGTTTAATGCAAAGAATAACATGTTTTTGAGTTTATAATTGTTTATATACAATAAATCTTTATGGTACCATTTGACCTACTTGCATGTTAATTAGATCATTTAATTCTGCGGTTCGATATATTCTTTGTTCCGTGGTATAACCTTGTCGGTCGTTCACTCTGCCAAATTGTTTCTTGGAATTTAATTAGAAGAGAGCATCCTTCCATGTTAAACGCCCGTAAAATAAGTAATGTATATATTTATACTAACAAGAGGTCACGATACGGCTCTCGCAAATTTCGATAATACTGTTTGTGCGAATAAACCTCAATAAGAACTTTTTATTGAGCAAAGGAAAAAAAGCACACTTCTCAAATGATTTCGAGAAAATCTAAGTTAAAAAATTTCCGAGCGACTAATGCAGAATATTTTGACGAAGGCACCGTGGCTCGGTGTCAGCGTGACTGACTAATAATTGCAAGATTGCTGGGTTTTCATTTTGATGAGCAAGTTTTACAAATTGTGCAGCTTATTACATAAAATAATAATTATTATTTCATACTTTGATTTTATTATTCTTATGTTATAACTTTATTTTTTACTGTCGTCTTGTTTTACTAGCTATGAAAAGGGAATGTACTTACAACAAACAATAAGAAACCAAAGACTGACGTTGAAATATGATTGTTTAGCAACGTGTATAACAATTCAATGCGCTATAGGAAGAAAATGAATTTATTTTCATTTAAAAATTTAAATTATTCATAATGTTTTTACATTCCGAAATGTTAAAAGCTTTAATCTATTTTTTAACTGAAAACAAGTTTAGAAGGAAGAGAAAATACTCATTTTTATAGAAAATAAATAGACAAAATGTATAAATCCGTGTAATTTTACAATTATTTTATGTAAAAAGTGTGCCGATTTGAACAAAATCCACTTGAGACACAAACCGGTGATCTCATGAGGAATATGTAAGGAATAACTCATTTTGCCACTTGAGGAAATCGTCCCGTCACCTCGTTGAGCCCAGACCTGCTTCCATTCTTTCCTGTCTTCGCCGATCTTCCTTCACAGTCTTCCCGGATCTTCGTCTTAGTCTATCGCCTATGTTTTCTGTTTGGTATGAAGTATCAAGAAGTCAATTTCTTAAGGCTGTAATTTAGTAATACATAAATATTGAAACAAATTAATTTGGACTAAAAGTAGGTGGTTAAACCATTATCTTGTACAAACATTAATAATAATGATGGTTTTAGAATTAAGTTTGATGATTAGAATATTCTGGAAGGAAAGACCCATAAAAGTCAGTTTACAGTCGAACGACAGTGTAGCATCGCAACAGCGGGAGTTTTTGGAGTTCTGCTGTGTTTGATGTCCTCGGTACAGTTGTCATTGTCATTAAACATGGAAGTTCGACAATGTTTAGTGTCCATGTTTGATGATGATGACATGTTATTCTGAGCTATATACTAACTAGAGTTTGAATATAAAACTGGATGATGATCTTATCAACTCCAATGATGGCTACCAATCTAGAGTCTAGGAGTTTCAAGATTGCTAGCTTTTAATTCTGCTTACTGTGCAGATGCATTACAAGTGCTACTTGGACCTGGACTTGTTTGATATGATTTGAGGACTAAACTGGGTCATCAAGTCACATCAAGTGAGTATTGTATTTGGAATAATCCTGGAATACAGGCAGTTAGAGTGCTAAATGTGTCACTTTTTCTGTTAGCATCAGATGCGGAATCGAGAGGTTACATAGAAACTAGAATATACATATACAGTCGGGTCGACTGTATATGCATATTCTAACACCCATAACACTGTTGATTATTCCGTTTTATATGAATTCCATGTTGTACGAGTCACTTAGATTTTACAAATATGTGAGCCGTTCACAGTCTGGCACACGTATTTGTAAATTCTAAGTGACTCGTATAACATGGAATTCATATAAAACGGAATAATCAACAGTGTTATGGGGGGGTCGACTGTAATCATAACAAATTGATTATTGGAAAAATAGAAGATTAGAAAATAATAAAGGACGAAATTCACATAAATAAAAATAAACAAAGTATGTTAAAAGGAGAGATATTGCCCAAAGTAGAAAGATTTGAATGGTTTTAACTTCTAATTTTTGAACAGAGAATTGATTGGAGAGAAATTATAGATTGAAAGTGAGTGCTGTCATGTAGTTTGGAACTTGGGAAAGATGTTGTTGAAAGAATATGGAATCAATATTTGAAGTAGTTATTGATCTAGGATGATAAATGTATCAAGAAACAAGAAGAAAGATGAAATA